TCAAGTGGTAACGGAGGAAACAGGGTCAGATTTTTGACATTCAAATGTCTCTTATTCAGAAACTAGAGGAACTATTGAAATAAGTAAAGTATCAGAATGTAGGAAAGAGTTACACTCCAACAGGGTCAAGTTAAACCTGTCAGATTCTTTCAAGTTCAAGACAAAAAATTTAAAAGCTCATGTCGGTAACGGAGGGAATGAAATATGCAGCACTTTTTGGTCAATAAATCCAAACAGTGATAACTCTTGGTTCTCACTTCCATATCCTTAACAAACTGGTTTGAATATTTGCTTCATATAGTTTTCTACCATATGGTACAAGATTAGGTTGAAAAACCTCTGACTTTTTGACTCATGAGATTTTTTATTAAGAAAGTTCATGGTAACGGAGGGAAAAGTAACGGAGGGAAAATTGTACAAACAAGTAGAAGGTGCAGGATTTTACATCATTTGTGGCTTTTTTCTTCTAAAAACTTTAATATTACTTCAAAATGAAAGAAACTATTTCTATAAAATATGTCAGTCCTTCCAAGAACATTTTTATCATTTTAAATACTTTTTTTTTTTTTTTAAATCCTGTCCCTTCATCAACAGTTCAAAGATGGAATAACACAAGATATGATGAAATACAAACATTTATTTACATGATTTTCAGGTCTTTGAAATTTGGGAAATAATTTTTGTTCCATGTTTCATTCATGGTCTGTTTAAAACGTCTGGAACTTTAGAACCAAAAATGGAACAGAAAAAAGGTCAACAGTTTGATAAACTCGAGTACATATGTATCTGTTCAACACACTTTTATATCAGATTAATTCACTTGAAGTTTTTTCCTTGTTGTTTACTTCTGCTGGACCAGGACCATATTCGATTTATTTTGAGAACTTTGATGATACAAAATCATGGTGTTTCTGTTATTTACATCCCGACTGGACTCGTTTGAGAGTTTACCAACATTTATTTCATGCTCATCTGCACACGAGTTTTTCTCAAAGCTTTAGTTCTTTTATACTTTGAGCCACAACAGTTGAGAAGAAAAGTTGAAGCAGCAGAATCACGTCGACTTTTTCAGTTAGTGGAGATGTTTAAAAGCAGTGAGTTCTTTAGGCGCCGCCTCCATTACTCTCGCTCCCAACTGCGGACAGATAAAATAACATAATGATACGGAGCGTCCTCTTCGGCCTGACCCCGGCGCTCCGAGCCGTTAGCGCCCAGATCCTGCGGCCGCCATCTTGTCCTCATCATGTGACCCGCGGCTGCATTAGGATCCGGTTTCACTTGATTTGATTTGAGTGGGAGCCGCGGGTCTGTCGCCCTCTTCCTGCCTCTCCCATCAGCCCATGTGCACCAGGCCCCCCTCCTCCTCCTCCTCTTCCTCCTCTGACGAAGACGAGCCACAGTCCACGGCCCAAACCTGAAAACAACACACTCATCACCGTGTAAAAGCTCCACACACGTCCTTTAACTCTCCAACAAAAACACCGTTCACACTCGTCACGTCGGACACTGAGGCTTTGTTCAAGATTCTACACTCGTCCTGGTTTTACTCCGGCCTAGATGTGGGTTTAGACCTGGTCTAGTCCTGGTCTTGCAACAGTTTAGACCTGGTTTAGTTCCAGTTTCATCCTGCTTCACTTTTAATTTAATCCTAATTTAGTCCAGGTTTTAATGAAGTATTTTTCAGATTTTGTTATATTAAGTTTTTTAGGGTTTGGCCCCAGTCTAGTCCTGGACTAGTACTGGTTCAGTACTGGTTTAGTCCTGGTTTAGTCCTAGTTCAGTCCTGGTTCAGTCCTGGTTCAATCCTGGTTGAAACTTGGTTCAGATCTGCTGGTTTGGTCTTGCTTCAAGTCCATTTTAGTCCTTATGTAGACCTGATTTGGTCCTGTTCTAGTCCTGGTTCAGTCATAATTCAGTCCTGTTTTAGTTCTGGTTCAGTCCCGGTCTAATCCTGTTTTAGTCCTGGTTTAATCCTGGTTTAGTGCAGGTTTGGTTCTGCTTTGGTCCTGGTCTAATCCTAGTCTAGTTGTGGTTTAGTCCTGATTCAGTTGTAATGCAGTCCTGACTCAATCCTAGTCTAGTCCTGGTCTAGTCCTGGTCTAGTCCTGGTCTAGTCCCGGTTCTTGTCCTTGTGTTCTCCGGGTCCTTGTTGAAAGCGGAGAAAGCGTTTTATTTGTATATTTTGGAGCTTTTTTGATCCGCAGCAGTGTCCTGTGCACGTGGCGCGGATTCAGCACTTCTCTTTTAGCCGTGATGTCAGGCCTATGGGATTTATAATGTGCTGGACCTGCCGGATCTGCGTCACCAACGTCTGCACCAGGACACTCAAGGAGCCGGGACTAGACCAGGGCTAGACCAGGACTAGACCAGGACTAGGACTAGACCAGGACTAGACCAGGACTAGACCAGGACTACACCAGGACTAGACCAGGACTAGACCAGGACTACACCAGGACTACACCAGGACTACACCAGGACTACACCAGGACTAGACCAGGACTGAACCAGGACTACACCAAGACTGAACCAGGACTACACCAGGACTAGACCAGGACTACACCAGGACTACACCAGGACTAGCCCAGGACTGAACCAGGACTACACCAAGACTGAACCAGGACTGAACCAGGACTAAACCAAGACTGAACCAGGACTAGACCAGGACTAGACCAGGTCTAAACCAGGACTGAACCAGGATTGAACCAGGACTGAACCAGGACTAGACCAGGACTGAACCAGGACTCTTTTTGGGGTTGAATAATGACACCACTTTTTTGTTTATTTGTGCTGCCCTGGTTTAGTCCTGGTTTAGTCCTGGTTTAGTCCTGGTTTAGACCTGGTTTAGTCCTGGTTTAGGTTTGTCTTGACGTGTTGTTTTTCTTCTTTTCTTTTGTCTTTATGGGGCCCTGGGCTTTTTGTGCTGTTATGTGTGTGTATTTGTTGTGCGTACATGTGTGTGTGTGTGTGTATGTGTCATGCTGTTGTGTGTGTGTTGTGTGCTTGTGTACATGTGTGTATGCGGATGTGTGTGTATGTTCTGGTGTTGTGTGCTTGTGTGTATGTGTATTTGTTGTATGTATTTGTTGTGTATGTGCATGTGTGTGTATTTGTTGTGTGTATATATCCGTGTGTGTTGTGTGTATGTTGTGTGTATGTTGTGTGTTTATGTGTGTGTGTGTGTGTGTGTGCGTCCCCGGTGTGCAGTCTGCTCACAGAGTTTATCAAAGTGGGTAACCTTCAGGCTCTGCGCACGTTTCGGGTTCTTCGTGCGCTAAAAACCATCTCCGTCATCCCAGGTAAGAACCGACCAATCACAGGACGGGAAACGGTCCCAGAGCCCGCCCACCCCACCCTCTGGCGGCCAATCGTCTCCCTCCGTCTGTGTGTGTCACGTGATCAGTGTGTTTTCTGCCCGGTAACAGTTGGACCAATCAGAGAAGAGAATGAGGAGAGAGGAGAAAAGCAGCTCGAGAAAAAGGCTCAAGTTTCAGCAGATTTATCAAAAACTCTAAATCACAAACTCTAGATTCTTTTTTTATTACATTTTAAAGTTTCTGTCCCTGATTTTTTCTGCCATAAAAACTTAAAAAACAGAAATAGTTTGTTTGAAACAGTTTGCTTCAAACTTGATCGTCTTGTCCCTTATGTGTTTAAAAGGTCCTCATTATTCACCATCCTGAGTTTAGAAACACTTTTCACACTCACACAGACCAGACCCGAGTTTTGTCGTCACGGTAAAACTCACAACAACTAGCATGTTAACGCGTACATCCTGATTCTTTGGACAATAAAAATCTTTACAGTTAGACCCATTAAGAAGTTGCCGATACGATACGAACCTCGATACAGTGAGCTTTCGATTTGATATGATTCGATATGATGAGATTCACTTCAATAAAAAAATAAAACATTAAAAATAAAACAATAAAAAATAAAACACAGCTGTGACACTAAAAGTCTTTGTTAAACCACTTCTTGTGCAAAGTTGGTTTAAAACAAATATAAAATTAAATGGAAATAAAAGTAAACAGATAAAATAATAAGTGTAAAACTGTTCAAAAACTCACAAACTGTAGATTCTTTATTTTAAAGTCTGTATTAGATTTTTACGTACATAAAAACGTGAAAAACAGTTTGCAGTGCTCCAAAGTTCGTCGTCACGTCTTTTCTGCGTTCAGAGCGTCCGAGGGTCCTCATTATTCACCATCGTGAGTTTAGAAACACTTTTCACACTCACACAGACCAGACCCGAGTTTTGTCGTCACGGTAAAAACGGACAAACACTGTGTGATATTTTCGATGGTTTTATTCAGCTCCAGCTCAAACTGTTCGACCAAATCTCAGGGTTTAAAAGTCCTTCATGAAGTCGCTCATGTTCTCACACGAACGACTTCGACAGAGAGAAACCCCCACGAGACGCGACTGGACTCACACAAGTTTGATTTTCCTGCGACCGTCGATTGTCGATCAGGATCTGGTCTTGACGGATTAATCGTTTCTCGTTACTGTGTGTGTCAACAACTCGAAGCACGACACGATTAAGACAAAACTTAATCCCAAAAACAGTCGCACGAGTGAAAAATTGGCTCAAAAAGGGACAAAAATCCCACCGTGTCAGATCCATGGGACAGAAACATGTTTGGGTCCTTTAAGTTTTGTCTGTAGGTTTATGATTCCTGTAAAAAAAACATTTCAAAGTTCACGTTTGAAGCAGAAGAAAAGGCTGAAATCTGATGAGACAAACTGAAACAGGACGAGTGTTTGTGGAGAAGTGGGACTCAGACCTGCAGCTCCATTGGATTAGGGTGAAACTGGCAGCCGGACTTTGACCGTCTGAAATCTGAAGTGAACCTGAAACCGAAGCCTCGATCTCGTCCGGCTCGTCTCCTCTCTCCTCGTCTCCTCTCCCTGCCTCCTCGTGTCCTCGTCTCCTGTCTCCTCACGTCCTTGTCTCCTCACGTCCTCGTCTCCTCTGTCCTTGTCTTGTCTCCTCGTTGTAGATATGTCACAGAGTTTGTGGACCTCGGCAACGTCTCGGCGCTGAGAACGTTTCGAGTTCTACGAGCGTTAAAAACCATCTCCGTCATCCCAGGTGAGAACACGACCATATATGGCTCTGACAGGTGAGAACACGACCATATATGGCTCTGACAGGTGAGAACACGACCATATATGGCTCTGTGACCGCACGCTCTGGTTCTGGAAGTAAATTTTGCATAAATTTTTCCAACAGAATTGAAAAAAATAATATTAAAAGTGTGAAAGGACTAATCAGCTCTGTGGAACTAATGACCACATGATTCATTTCAAATATATAACACTTTTTGGACACTCAAAAACACTTTATAAACAACAGGAAGCAACACTATTGTCCTGAATGTCAGACTTCTGGTCCTGGTGCAGGTCACACTGAGAAGGATCCTCAGAAAAAGTGAACATCAAACCTCTGTGTTTGTTTTCCCAGTGGGATGGAGGTTTGTCGACTCTGTCCTCGGTCTGTGGCTCCGTCTCTCGCCGCGAGTGTCCAATATGAACTTTGTTTTGGTCCAAACTCCTGTGCTCCGTCCGTTTTGATTGGTCCAAACTTTGCCCAAGAGTGTAGTGAGTCAAACCGGTCGATGTTCTGAGCGTCTGTGTTCAGAACAAGTGAAAAAGTCGCTCTAAGTCGAGGGTGGACAAACTTTTGACTCGTGAGCCACAAAAGGTTCTAAAATTTGATGGAAGAGCTGGACCAGGAGTGTTCTGATGATCCACCTCATAAGAGAAAAAAATAACTGTAGATCTGTAGAAAAACTGTACTTGAATTTCAACTGAAAATCATTACAAAGCATCACAACTTTTATTATTATAATTTATTCAAGTTCGATGGGCCGGATTAAAAAGATTAAAGGGCCGCATTTGGCTTCCAGGCCTTAATTTGCCCACCCCAGCTCATTTTGATGTCCAAAAAGTTGTTTCTATATTTCTGCTCCTGACACACGACATGAGTCCAGCAGCAGATTGTGAAAGGTTTAGTGAAAAAAAAGGAGGGGAACAAACAGTAAATTGTTGAGGACAAATGCTCGCCCTCAGTCTGTAATATTTGAATATTTGAATATTTGACCAAGTGAATGTGTCCTGTGGAACCAGGAGAGAGACGCTCCAGCTCAGGGGAAAAAACACAGATGAGAAGTACGACCACAACACAGAACCAAGAAAAAACACAACAACACAACTACTACTACTAATACTAATACTAATACTACTGATACTAATACTGCTGCTCGTGTTCGTGCCTGAGCCTGAGGTGTGCAGTGATTTTCTTCCTCAGGACTTTTAAACGTCTCTGTCAAACACAGACCAGGTGACGTGAGCTAAAACGAGGCGTTTGTAAAAGCACAAGTCGCTCAGGTGTCGCTCAGGTGTGTCCTCTGAGGTCCCTGCACTCTGGACTCATACACACACACACACACACACACACTCAGCACAAACACACACTAAACTCACACACACAAACGGGACAGAAAAACGAGGTGTTGTGTGAAAGTGCGACACACGAGGAAACGCTGAGGAGGAAAAATATAAAAGAGTTTAACCTGAAAACGCAAAACAAACAATATGTGTGTTTGTGTGAGAATAATGAACCGACACCAGACCTGGTTTAGACCTGGTTCAGACCTGGTTCAGACCTGGTTCAGACCTGGTTCAGACCTGGTTCAGACCCGGGCCAGACCTGGTTTAGACCTGGTTCAGTCCTTGGTTCATTATCACATTTACTCGTTTCCCGTGCTCCTTCTGTTCTCTCACTTTGTGTTTCCTTTTGATGTTTTTTTGATTCGATTGTTTCATTATTTTAGGTGAAAATCTGAACTGAAAATGTTTTTTTAAATTTGAAATGTTCAGATGTTTACCCAACAGAACCATGTTTGCCAGAGTCTGAAAGATGGACGCACATGTGCTGCAGACGTCTTTAAGAACGAACGAAGCCAGTCTCAGAATCAGACCTGGTTTAGTCCTGGTTTAGTTCTGGTTCAGACCTGGTTTAGTCCTGGTTTAGTCCTGGTTTGGGATCTTAAATGACACATGACAGGTTGATGTTCTGTTTTTTTCAGCTCGTTCTTGTGCTCGGAGTTTATCACAGTTTGACTTCAGCTCAGTTGGAGTTTGTGCAGAAAAGTTCCAACACAGAAGTGTGTGTAGGAGTGTGTGTGTGTGTGTGTGTGTGTGTGTGTAGGAGTGTGTGTGAGTGTGTGTGTAGGAGTGTGTAGGAGTGTGTGTGTAGGAGTGTGTGTGTGTGTGTGTGTGTGTAGGAGTGTGTGTGTAGGAGTGTGTGTGTAGGAGTGTGTGTGTGTGTGTGTGTGTGTGTGTAGGAGTGTGTGTGTAGGAGTGTGTGTAGGAGTGTGTGTGTGTGTGTGTGTGTGTGTGTGTAGGAGTGTGTGTGTGTGTAGGAGTGTGTGTGTAGGAGTGTGTGTGTGTGTGTGTGTGTGTGTGTAGGAGTGTGTGTGTAGGTGTGTGTGTGAGTGTGTGTGTAGGAGTGTGTGTGTAGTGTGTGTGTGTAGGAGTGTGTGTGTAGGAGTGTGTGTGTAGGAGTGTGTGTGTAGGTGTGTGTGTGTGTGTGTGTGTGTGTGTAGGAGTGTGTGTGTAGGTGTGTGTGTGAGTGTGTGTGTAGGAGTGTGTGTGTGTGTGTAGGAGTGTGTGTGTAGAGTGTGTGTGTAGGTGTGTGTGTGTGTGTGTAGGAGTGTGTGTGTAGGAGTGTGTGTGTGTGTAGGAGTGTGTGTGTAGGAGTGTGTGTGTGTGTAGGAGTGTGTGTGTGAGTGTGTGTGTGTAGGAGTGTGTGTGTAGTGTGTGTGTAGGAGTGTGTGTGTAGGAGTGTGTGTGTGTGTAGGAGTGTGAGTGTGTGTGTGTGTGTGTAGGAGTGTGTGTGTGAGTGTGTGTGTAGGAGTGTGTGTGTAGGAGTGTGTGTGTAGGTGTGTGTGTGTGTGTGTGTGTGTGTGTGTGTGTGTGTAGGAGTGTGTGTGTAGGAGTGTGTGTGTGTGTGTGTGTAGTGTGTGTGTAGGAGTGTGAGTGTGTGTGTAGGAGTGTGTGTGTAGGTGTGTGTGTGTGTGTGTGTGTGTGTAGGAGTGTGTGTGTAGGAGTGTGTGTGTAGTGTGTGTGTAGTGTGTGTGTAGGAGTGTGTGTGAGGAGTGTGTGTGTAGGTGTGTGTGTGTGAGTGTGTGTGTAGGAGTGTGTGTGTGTGTGTGTGTGTGTAGGAGTGTGTGTGTAGGAGTGTGTGTGTAGGAGTGTGTGTGTAGGAGTGTGTGTGTAGTGTGTGTGTGTGTGTGTGTGTAGTGTGTGTGTGTAGGAGTGTGTGTGTGTAGGAGTGTGTGTGTGTGTGTGTGTGTGTGTGTGTGTAGGAGTGTGTGTGTGTAGGAGTGTGTGTGTGTGGTGTGTGTGTGTGTGTGTGTGTGTGTGTGTAGTGATGTGTGTGTAGGAGTGTGTGTGTAGGAGTGTGTGTGTGTGTGTGTGTGTGTGTGTGTAGGAGTGTGTGTGTAGGAGTGTGTGTGTGTGTGAGTGTGTGTGTAGGAGTGTGTGTGTGTGTGAGTGTGTGTGTAGTGTGTGTGTGTGTGTGGTGTGTGTGAGTGTGTGTGTAGGAGTGTGTGTGTAGGAGTGTGTGTGTAGGAGTGTGTGTGTGATCTGAAAAGCAGGATTCCTCTGCTGATGTCATCAGAGGAAAAGTCTCAAACACAGAGACAGTTTAGGCCCAATGAAACTCAGACTTTAAACCTTCACGTCACTGAATAAAGCTGAGCTCTTTTATTTGTGCGTCTGATCACAGTTGTGTGTTTTACTTGACACACACTTCCTGTTTACGTTATGTTGCTAGGAAACGGTTATGGAGAAACCTGCACGTTTGGCTGATCTCCAGAACTTCTGTTTTTAGGTTAGAACCTGCGTTTGGTTCCAAATCTGGACAAAATGTTTTGGGTCCAAATTTTGTACAAATTGAAGATAGAATTTAACACAGAACCAAATAAATCAAACCTATTCCAATAATTTATCATTTTATTCTGCAAACACAAGCTGAAACTTGAATAAAAATGACATAGGAAGTTCATAAAGTCCATAAAAAGTGATTTGCTAAATTCTATTTCCTTCCACATTTCTTCTTAAATCATCTTTTGGTGATAAAAAAGTCTTTACAAAGCTTTGATGGAGCAGCCTAATGTGCACCTGTCGCACCTGCTGCTCCTGTCGAACCACAAAGTGACTTTAAAAACTCCACCAACTTCTACAAACGTCCCTGTCATGTGATGTGATGTTCTCTCCTCTTCACAAACACAAACATCTCTGAGACTGGCTTCTTTTCAAAACTGTATTTTTATTTCTCTAAAAAACTTCGACTTAAAAAATCTTCTTTCCCCCCCGGTCCTGGCGCCCCCTGCTGGCCCAGGCCTGAAGACCATCGTCGGCGCCCTCATTCAGTCTGTGAAGAAACTGGCCGACGTGATGATCCTCACCGTCTTCTGCCTCAGCGTCTTCGCTCTCATCGGACTTCAGCTCTTCATGGGAAACCTACGACAGGTAACTCCGCCCACGTCCACGACTCCACCCCCCCCACAGGCACAACCGGCTCCTCTGGGGTTTTAAAGTCCACACACTGCGATGCATTCACTGTTTTAGCCTCATTTAAACAGCTTCACTCCTCAGCGCTCGTCCTCAAACATTACAGGAAAAAAAACTGCAAAAATATTAAAGTTGTTGCCTCATTTTTTTCATTTTAGGCATTTTAGACGTGAACCTTTTGTCTTTTTGAGGTAAAGGAGATTAAATTTACAAATGAAAGGACAGCGGATTATTTCTGTCACATTTCTGAATAAATCAGAATCAAAACAGTCGAACCAAAATCCAGAACAAACAGAAAAGTACAAAAACATGAAACAAGGTGAGAAGAGAAAAAAGAACGAGCCAAGAACAAAATGATGAGTGAGAAAAGAAAAACCTGACGTCCAACACAGACTCGAAAGAGTTGAAAAAACAAAACAGGTGAGGGGAGGAGTCAGGGGAGGGGAGGGGTCAGAGGAGGGGAGGGGTCAGAGGAGGGGTCAGGTGAGGGAGGGACAGGTGAGAGGAGAGGGACAGGTGAGAGGAGAGGACAGGTGAGAGGAGAGGACAGGTGAGAGGAGAGGAAGGTGAGAGAGAGGAGGACAGGTGTGAGGGAGGGAGAGGACAGGTGAGGGGAGAGGACAGGTGAGAGGAGGGGTCAGGTGAGAGGAGGTGACAGGTGAGGGGAGGACAGGTGAGGGGAGAGGACAGGTGAGGGGAGAGGACAGGTGAGAGAGGACAGGTGAGAGAGGGGTCAGGTGAGAGGAGGTGACAGGTGAGGGGAGAGGACAGGTGAGAGGAGGGGACAGGTGAGGGGAGGGGACAGGTGAGGAGGAGGACAGGTGAGAGGAGGTGACAGGTGAGGGGAGAGGACAGGTGAGGGGAGAGGACAGGTGAGGGGAGAGGACAGGTGAGAGGAGGGGTCAGGTGAGGGGAGGTGAGGGGAGAGGACAGGTGAGAGGAGGGGACAGGTGAGGGGAGGGGCCAGGTTATTTTCACATCTTCCATTTAAAACTGTGTGGACTTTAAAAATCCAGAGGAGCTTTGTAGACTAACTTTGCCAACGTGCACCAGTGGGGGGCCTTAGGGTGTCCAGGTGTGACAGGTGCACCAGGTGTGACAGGTGCACCAGGTGTGACAGGTAGTGTGACAGGTGGTGTGACAGGTGTTCCTCCAGGTGTGTCAGGTGTTCGTCCAGGTGTGTCAGGTGTGACAGGTGGTGTGTCAGGTGTTCGTCCAGGTGTGTCAGGTGTGTCAGGTGGTGTGTCAGGTGGTGTGACAGGTGTTCCTCCAGGTGTTTCAGGTGTGTCAGGTGTGACAGGTGGTGTGTCAGGTGTTCATCCAGGTGTGTCAGGTGTGTCAGGTGTGTGTGTCAGGTGGTGTGTCAGGTGTGACAGGTGGTGTGTCAGGTGTTTGTCCAGGTGTGTCAGGTGTGTCAGGTGTGTCA